GAGGTAGGCCTGTAGGCTCATATTGCTATAAACTTCCCTCTTAAAACTGTCCCACAGGTGTGAACCATTATATTTTCATATTTATTTGTTTCCATGTGCTTTTTTATTTCCTTCTTTGATTTCCTGGTTGACCTATTCATTGTTCAGTAGCATGTTAGTTAACCTCCATGTATTTGTGGTTTTCCGAGATTTTTTTCCTTGTGGTTGACGTATAGTTTCATAATGTTGTTTTCATAAAAGATACACGGTATGACTTTCATTTGTTGAGGCTTGTTTTGTGACCTAATATCTGGAGATCTGTTTTGGAGAAAGTTCCATGTGCGCTTGAGAAGGATGTGTATTCTGCTATTTTTGGATGGAATGTTGTCAATATATCTGCTAAATCTTTCTGGTCCAATGTGTCATTCTAAGCCATTGTCCTTGTTGATTTTCCGTTTAGATGATCTGTACATTGATGTCAGTGGGGTGTTAAAGTCCCCTACTGTTGTATTATTGTTGATTCATTCCTTTATGCTTGTTATTAAAGGTTTTATGTATTGGAGTGCTCCCATATTGGATGTGTAAATATTTACAATTATTATAGTCTATTGGATTGTTCCCTTAATTATTACATAGTGTCTTTCTTGGTCTCTTGTTAACAGTCTTTGATTTAAAGCCAATATAAGTATTGCTACTCTGGCCTTCTTTTGACATCCATTTACATGATAAATGTTTCTCCATCCCCTCACTTTCAATCTGCAGGTGTGTTTAGGTCTAAAATGTGTCTCTTGTACACAGCATATAGATGGGTCTTGGGGTTTTTTGTCCATTCTGTTCCCCTCTGTCTGTTTATTGGAGTCTTTAGTCCATTTACATTCAAAGTTATTATTGATATGCATTTATTGCCGTTTTATTACTTGTTCTGTGGTTGTTTCCGAAGATTTTCTGATTTGTTCTTTTCTTCTCTTTCATGGTTTGCTGATTTTCTTTAATGATATGTTTGGATTTCTTCTCTTTATTCTTTGCATATTTATTAGTGGTTTTTGATTTGTGGTTACCATTAGGTTTGTATATAACATCTTCTGAATAGAGCAGCCTGTATACAAGTTGATGGTTGTTTAAGTTTGAACCCATTCTTTACTCTTCGTCTCCCCATGTTTTATGTGTGTAGTGTCATATTTTATATCCTTTCATTTTGTGAATTCCTGTACTGATTTTTTTTTACAGGAATATTCATTTTTATTATTTTTGTGTTTCCTGCCTTCATGCTGTCATTTTGGTCTTCCTTTATTTACACTCAAAGAGACCACTTTAATATTTTCTGCAGTGCTGGTTTAGTGGTCATGAACTCCTTTAATTTTTGTTTGTCTGACAAACTCACTCTTTCCTTCTATTCTGATAGCCTTGCAGGAAAGAGTATTCTTGGCTGCAGATATTTCCCATTCAGCAGTTTGCATATAACATGACACTCCTTTCTGGATTGGAAAGTTTCTGCTGAAAAATTCTCTGATAGCCTTATGGTATTTCCTTTGTATATAACTGTCTATTTTTATCTTGTCACTTTTAATATTTTTTCCTTTACCACTGTATTTTCCCATTTTAATTACATATGTCTTGGTGTGGATCTACTTTTGTTGCTTTTGTTGGGGTTTCTTTGTGCCTCCTAGATCTGGATATCTGTTTCCTTCCCCAAATTAAGGAAGTTTTCAGCTATTATTTCTCCAAATAAATTCTTTACTCCCTTTTCTCTGTGCTCCTGGGACTCCTGCAATATGAATGTTATTACACTTGATGGAGACATTGAAATTCTCTACATCTGTTCTTATTTTCCATAATTCTTTTTTCTTTCTTTTGTTCAGCTTGATTATTTTACATTACTCTGTCTTCTGGGTCATTAATTAGTTCCTCTTCTTCCAGTCTGCAGTTTATTCCATCAAGCATGTTTCTCATTTCATTTATTGAGTCCTTTTTCTGTGCTGTGTTACTTCTTATCTCTGTGTTAATGGTCTCATTGATGTGCTCCACTCTTTTCTCAAGTCCAGTAAGTATACTTGTAATCATTGCTTTAAATTTTCTTTTATCTGTTTCACTTAGGTTTTTTGCCACGTCCTTGTCCTGTTATCTCATTTGGGAGAAATTCTTCTGTCTTCCCATTTTGTATAAGTCTCAGTGTCTGTTTCTATGTGTGAGGGAAGTCAGCTACTTCTCCTATTTTTGAGGGCAATGGCTTTATGAAGAAGAGGTCCTGTGGTGCCCTGCAGTATAGTGTCCCTTCTTCCCCAGGACCTGGCACTTCCAGCAATGCTAAGTGTACTCTGCTGTTGTGTGGTCCTGATAGTTTTATGCTTCAGGGCAGTCATCTACAGATGCCTATTGTGGGCAGTGTTTGGTCCCTGCCCTGAATGTAGTGCATTTTAACTAAATGTGTTCTGGTCTGCTTTGTGAAATAACCTGTCACCACCATCACCTAAACTGCAGCTTTGCAAAACTTACCAGATAGGAGCCATAGTATTGGCACGGGTTTGGGCCAGTCTTGTAGGAGAGGGGGCCTGCCATGCTGCCACCTAGGCAAGAGTGACTAGGAAGGTTGTTTTCCCCAGATCGTGAGGGGGTGGGTGGGGCTTGGTGTAAGCAAGTTAGGTAATGAGTGTGGGCCCAAGACTGTTTTTTGCCGGTAGCTCTGTATTCTGACAGGCAGGTGAGGTAATTGGTACCTGCCAGTTCCTTTTTACCTGGAGGTCTCTCTCTCTCTGAATGCTCTCACTCTGGAACATTCTCAAAGAGGAGTAGCTAACCTCCCTACAGTGTGCCCCAGGCACTATCCAGATTGGTTTTTGCAAGCTGTGTCCATCCATAGGCTGTTTGCCCAGCCTTCTCTCCAAGAGCAGTCCCAGTGTCCCAGTCCCAGCTTTCCCTGAGCCAAGCATGCTGACCTTTAGAACTCCAGGCGTTAAGCCCCACTGGTTGCAAGAACTCAAGAAATTCAGGCCCTCTCACTTTCCAAGCCAATTGCTGTGGGGATTAATTTCCTGTATACTTCCCTATGTGTTAGCCTGTCTCTTGCCCTTCTCCAGATGGTAACTTCCTCTCTACCCCATTGGCTACGATACATTTTTCTCCCAAGTTGAGTCTCCATACTTCCTACCTCCTTTGATGTGGCCTCCTCTCTACCTTTATTTGTGGAGGGTTTTTTTGTTTTTTGTTTTTTGTTTTTTTTTTTTTTGCCAGTTTTCAGATTGATTTCTGGGGTATTTAGGATGATTTGATTGTTAGAGATAGGAAGTTTGTATTACCTAGGGACGAACTCTTACGATAGACTCATACTTAATCTAAAGGCCAAGAAGTGCCACCTCATTTTCTAATGGTTTTCTATAAAGAATGTCACTTCTTACTAGGCTTTATTTCATAGTATGTCACTTAATATTTTGAGATTATCCCTTTTTTAGAGGACTTAGTTTAACTATGATCTGACATAGAGTTCCATTTGGTTTTAAAACAATACAGATATACCAGAATGGCTAGTATGTTTGATACCATATTGTGAAACCTAATAATTTAAAATGATATTTACTTCTTCCTATTTCACAAAGATGTTGTAGTGACAAATAGAATATTGGAAATACAAATAGTATTTTGTTTTTCAAAATGGCTTACCAGTTGTTCTATTGGGTTTTTTTGTTTTTTGAATAATCCTTTTGTCCTCACTAAATTTTGATACCAACTTTAGTAATTTAATTTTGTATACACAGCCTATTTTGGGCGACCATTTATTTTGTAATAGTCCTTTCTATTTTAATATTAGAAGGAGTAGTCCTTCATCATTGCTCTTCCTTTTAAAAGCTTTTTTCCTTTTCTTAGTTGTGTTCATTTTTAAATTAAAAAAATGAATGCAATATTAATTTGAAGAGATGTATATTATATTGCAGTGTAATTGTGATATCACAAGTCAAAAAAAAAGAGAATAGAAAGTATGTGGCATAGGAATCTGTAGTTACACAAATCCAAAACTTTATAATTAAAACAGTTTAAGATGGTATAACACTTTGTGAGTGTATTTTTAGTAGTAATTATATTAGTAGTAGTAATTTTCTTATTACAAGCTCTACGTTTCTTTAATAGGGTCTTGTTCTGTATATGGTAGTGTCCTCTCACCCATAGGGCATACATTTCAAGACTCCAGTGAATGACTGAAACCACGGAGATAGTAACACACCCTATATGTACTGTTATTTTTTATGCATATATACCTTTGGGAACGTGTAATGTATAAATAAGGCACAGTAAGAGATTAAAAATAAATAGTAATAAAATAGAATAGTTATAACAAATACAGTGAGTTATTTCAGTGAGGTGTCTCTCTCAAAGTATCGTTTTGTCCTATATTTACCCTTGTGATGATGTAAGATGATAAAATACCTACATGATGAGATTAGGTTAGGTGAATGATGTAGGCATTTTTATGTGACATTAGGCTACTATTGACCTTTTGACCATAACGTCAAAAGGAGGATTCATCTGCTTCCACACTAATGGAAATTGAAACTGTGGATGAGGGATGGGTACTATACCTAGCAACTAACAGAGGGGCCATCTCTTTTTTCAGGTTATCCTCTTGGTAGTTTTTACTTTTCGAGTTTTTATTTCATGGTAACATACAGAGTACTTAACAGTGTTTCATAGAAATCGATATATTGATTGGGGTTGATTTTTGTAGTCATTTGATACATGTGACTTATGTGACTTAACAGACAAAAATGTCTTTGTAAACTTAACGGTTGCTTATAAACATTTATTAGTTTGGGGAGATGATTGAGAGAGTGTGACATCAGTCTTGTCTCTGGCATCTTGAGTCGGACATTAGATATTCTACTTAAACCTTTTATCTGAATAATGTGCAAATTTATTTATTAGTTTCAAATGATATTTTTATTATGTTCTGTTTCTATTATTCATAGTTTAAAAAAATACAAGCTTATGATTTTTATCTAAATATTCCATAAACTTTTTTTAATACCACTTAGTTAATAAACCATGCTTTGAAAGAACTAATGGAAATAGAAGAAGTGAGTGAGAATGTATTACAAGTTCACCTAAATGGTAAGTATGTCATAATTTTGCCATTGGAAATGATATAAGCCATGTGAGCTTTTTATAATACAAAACCTAATTTACCTAAAATGTTTAAAGGTGGATGACAATTATATTTTAAAAACATGATCCATGTTTAACAACTTCCACTTTAAAGTACCATATGCATTATTTTTAGAAACTAAAATAATAATAATAATAATAGTAATATACAAAGGAAGCACATAAGGACTCTTGTTTTTTGTCTTTCTTTTCTTAAAATAAAAGAATCCCAAGATAGACAGTTCTTTGAGTCTACCACGTCTTTATTGCTGTGCTTCAAAAAGGAAGTAATGTAAACAAACAGGCTTTTGACTTTTTTCTTTCTAGTTAAATTTAAAAAGCGTTAGAAAACTTACTTGACTGGAAAATAACCTGTGCTCTATCAAATAAATATTTCATTTTAATTAAATATTTTTAAATGGACTTTATTTCAGGACTGCTGCAGATCAATGATAAAATTGCCCTAAAGGAAATCACAAGACAGTTAAATCTGGAAAATGTAGTTGGAGATAAAGTTTTTGTAAGTATTGTTTCTATTCCTTTATTAAATAGGCTTTAATGTTTGCATGGCATAGATATTTTTATATTTTTGAAAGACTAGGGCAGGTTCAGAGATTCTAAATTGAAATCTGAAATATTCTTGTCATAAAAAAGTATAAGGTTCTAGGATGCATTTATTCATCATATCTTTAGATTTTTTAAAGTAGATCACACTATAAAATAGTCAAGAAATCCGTGTTTCTGTAGATATTATCTGAGTTTGTTTCTTTACGTGTTAAGAGAAATATCTTGATTCTCTGTTCTTGGAGGTAGATTAATATATTTTTTAAAGTACTACACTCTAGCAGTCTGTTTTTAGTCTTTTGAGACTTGGGTAGCTAGGTGTAATGGAAAATGTGCTGAATTTGAAGCTATTAAATGTGGATTTGAGCCTTGTCTTGAAACTGTTGACTACATGGCCATCATGGCTAGTATCTCTGAAGTTGAGATTTCTCATCTGTGTTAAATGTGCATTATCTTCTCATACTTCACAGATTTATTCTAAAGACAAAAGGGAGCATTGAACATAATTTATATTTGAAAAATGCTGGGTTTGTGATGTACTATACAAATTTCAGTTATCTCTTACAAATGTCAGTTATCTCTTACTATTAAAATGTTTTCAGAAACTTATTTATACCTCATTATTGTAGCAGCTCGGAATCTCAGGATTGGTGAACATCAGTTACTTAAATGAAACTGATCAGCAATGTTCTGAAACTTTTATTAAAATGTTTACCCTATCACTTTATTTATAGTGTTCTAGAGAAACATTAATTTATAGCTACCCTAACTTTCATAATGAAATGACTACCTCTCCTACTGCTTACTCAATTAAAGTGGGTTGTATACATCCCAGTTCATTTTCTGCTCACTGGTGATCATACAGTACTATCACTCTAAAATGTATACTCTTTTCTGCAATGGCATAGCCATAGTTGTAAGCCTCTTTAGTAATTACTTATCAAAAGTTGAGCCAATCATGTGTTATCCTTCTACACTGTCTGCGGGTTCATAATGCCCCTTCTATAAGTCTAATGTTCTGTCCCTGTTCAGACTGTACTGTTGAATACAGTGGCCTACCTGATCAAGGAGATTTACTATTAGATAGGCTCAGTGTGGCCTTCGGTTTGCAATCGATGTAGACTGGTGTTTCTAACTTTCCTAAATGGACCTATTTATATTGGATTCATAGGAATTGATTAAAAAGTCACCGTTGTTTAACATCCTGGGTCATTACTTTTGTTAATAACATCACATAAAGACATTATTTAACTTCTACATTATATACATCAGTCACCTGAGGCAAACAATATATTTAGCTTACCTAAGGTCATAAAATGACAAAGGCTGGACATTAAGAACCGAAGTCACTTAACTGAACCCAGAGTCTTTCTGTTTTGATATACTTAGAGCAAATTTCTATATTCCTGTAAATGTATATGGATATCTATATACAATACATGTATATGTATTCATATAAGGATATTCTTATATGTGCATATGTATTTATATAATGATAAACTTAATGTCAGGTTATAACTGTCTTTAAAAAGAAGGAGGGTGGCATCTGGGTGGCTCCTTTGGTCGGGCGTCCAACTCTTGATTTTGGCTCAGGTCATGATCTCCCAATTTGTGGGATTAAGCCCCAAATCAGGCTCAGCACTGACAGCACAGAGTCTGCTTGGGATTCACACACACTCTCTCTCTTAAAAATAAATAAATAAACTTTAGAAAAAAGACTAACAGGCTCAGCACTGACAGCACAGAGTCTGCTTGGGATTCACACACACTCTCTCTCTCTTAAAAATAAATAAATGAACTTTAGAAAAAAGACTAACAACCTTTGAATAACTTTGGCTAGTAGTTATTTGGCTAGTACTTTGGCTAGTAGTTGAATAACTTTGGATAGTACTGACTTACCCACAGCCTGTGAGCCTTTATTTATATTATGGTAAATATTTCTTGCCCTTCCTGTCTTGGAAATAATGTTGATTTGACAACATGCAATTATAGTAAAATATGTGCAAGTTCTTAAAAACCTATTATGCTATTTTGTATCAGTTCTCTCAAAATTGGGAAACAAGTGGATTTCTTTTCTCTGATATGTCTTTGCAAATTTAAAGTTGGTTATTTAAATCAAAAAATCTGAATAACGTAAAAATTAATGACTTAAATGAAAAAATATTTTAAAGGGCCTTTATCCACAAGCTGGAACATCAGGGTAACGCATGTGCTACTCTCTTAATTTCCACATAGAATATATTTAAGTTTTATCCAAAAATGTTTTGGCTGTGTTCCAAGTAAACAGCCAAATTTGATATGATATATACACATTCTATGATATGCTCTTGAATAGGTAAAAACAATTATAGTATGGAATATTTGAGGCAAATTTCTTCTCCCATTTCCTTTTGGATCTGATTTAAATTCATGGGCATTTTTTAATGTTCAAATTAATCTGAGACTGGCAAGAGCTTAATGTATTTGAAGTACAATGGAGTTTTAGTTCTCTGACTGTATTTAGAATATAGCAAGTCTTAAAAACAACCTTTAAAGTTAACATTTTTACAGATTTTATCTGGAAAATGCAAAATTGTAAACATGACAGAGTTATGCCGTTTTCAACACTATGCCATCCCTGCTTCAACATTTTAAGTTTTTAGTGATGCACATAGAAATATCCAGCTCAGAATCTGACTGCTGACTAATTTGAATCTAGAAAAAAATAGATACATAATGCCTATATAATGTCCAAATATCATAGTCCTCTTTTATTCTTTATTTCATTAAACTTTTAGTCATGGTGTCTATTTTTGTTGTTCAGGGAAGCTTTGCTGAAAACCTTTCATTTCTTCTGGAAGCTTTGAAAAAAGGTAAATATTAGCATATTTAACACCATCTGAAGATATCACTTACAGTATATCACTGATACAGATGGACGTAATTTTGTATAAGATTAAAATAATTTTCCATATTGTATAACCTGTATCTTTTCACTTACTTAACGGTGTGTTGTGAACATCTTTCTGTGTCAGTAATTAGTGAGCTACACCATCATTTTTATGGTTCTCATTTATTCTGTTTTATAAATTAATTATGCTCCAAATATATTAAATTAGGTTCTTAATCACCAGTTCTGGACATTCTAACTTTGTACAATTAGGAAGAAATGCTTAAATTGTCATTTGGATTTTTCCTGGGGTAAATTTTAGTGAGTAGAATTCTTGATCAAACTGTACCACATTTAAAAGTATAAATATAACCAAACTACCTTGGAAATTCTATTTTCTAAACATATTTGAGAGTACCTTTTCCTTCACAACTTTTATTCAAAGTTATTATTTTTCATGTTTGCCTAAGAGAAAAAAATACATCTCTTAGTTTAATATGCATAATGTTGGTGTTAATGATGCTCACCACTTCATACTTTTATTGGGCACTGATATTTTTTGGTTTGTGTATTTCCTGTTGGTTCTTTTGCCTTATTTTGGTGATGTTTATCTCATACTCATTCATGAAAATTCTTGCACTTATTTTTCTCTTAAATTTGGTTTGGACTTTTCTGCTGAAGTTTTAAATTTTTTACATAGTCGAAATTTTTGTCTTTAGATTTTGAAGACATCTAGTTAATGTTTTCATCTAACATATACTTATAATCTGGTGAGAACTTATTTTGATAAGGTGTAAAGTTGAGATGTGACCTTGTATAAACCACTTTTCCCCATTGATTTGTAATGGCATATTTTATCAAATACTAAATTTCTATATCATATAGGTTTGTTTATAGACTTTTTAAGTAGTCCTCAGGCTTTTCATGCCATTTAGGTTTCTGTATATGTTTTATTATCTGTTAAATGTCCTCTTATCAGATTTTCTTTTCACTTGTGTATGTAAATATAAAGCCGTAAACTTTAAGGTAATAGCGATTCGTCTGTTAAAGTAGTTTCCCTCATTGTAATGAGAAAAATGAATTCACAGAGTCATGTTGAACTTTCCCTATTGTTGAAATATTAAAATTGTCAGGGCAGGGCTCAAAAAGGAGTTAAAAGTGGCTTTGGTTGAATTCATAATTTAACAATTTATTTGTAAAAATTTTAAGCACCTGGGAAAATGCACTTTGTATTTCTGCTAACTAAACAAGTCTCTTTTGAAGCAAAAGTTTTGTTCATAAGCTAGTTGCTCCCTTTATTATTAATACCAAAGTGTTTTGGAGTATGTAGGTGTTAAGAGATCCTTGTCAATTTTTTGATGGTAAAAGATTATGTTTCCATAATTTAAAAAATAATGGCATAATCACTTAAATAATTCTTGAGTTTTTTTATTAGTAAACTAGAATCTGGTAATTAGACTGTGAACTACTTGAGGGCAGTAAGGGCTATCTTGTCATGTGAACAATTTTTTGTTGAATAAATGTACATGCACTGTTAAGTATCCTACCCAAAGTAGGTTTTTCAGTATGTATTGAGTTTTAACAACTAAAATGTAGTGAATAATTTGGAAACTTAAGAAAGGTTGATATAATTGCTTATTAATATAAAACTCTTATTTTATCTTAGGTGACAGGTCTAGTAGTTGCCCAGTAATCTTCATATTAGATGAATTTGATCTTTTTGCTCATCATAAAAACCAGACACTCCTCTATAATCTTTTTGACATTTCTCAGTCTGCACAGACTCCACTAGCAGTTATTGGTCTTACATGTAGATTGGTAAGTTATTCTTTCTATTAAAAAATTGATTATAATATTTAGATAATTAAAGCTTAATTACTGATGTAGTCACTTATGTAGGTGATTATATTAAGCATTTCTTTCAAATGTGTTTTATCAGTGCCTTGTGCATTTATCCTACTTTTCAGCTCAGATTGAAGGAAACAGTTATTCACACGTACTCATAAACTAATACCTCCCTCTCTCCAGTGGAATCACTGAATGAAAATGCGAAGTCAGATTATGCTAGTATAATTTCTACATTAGCAAGTAAAAAGACAATGAAACAATCTTACCATCATGTTATAAAAATTGCTAATTACTTTTATATTTAAGATTCATTCTATATTTTGATAATGCTTGGAATTGAGTTAAAATGATACTATCCCCTCTTTGTAAGTACACATCTTGAGAAATGGAAGGGATTACTTCTGTCAAGATGTCACAGTAGATAGTGGCTTCTTTGCTTTTTGGGGGGATTTTAGAATGATTGTAACCATAGTCTCATTGTTGCTATCACATTACTTTGTGAAGACTCTACATGTTGAACCCTGTGTACCTTCAGATGGCTACACAGGCCTTTTTTTATCTTCTTTTACATTATAAACTTTATTACTGAATTCAGATAAAACTGGTACTTAAGGGTCATCTCTCTTCTCATGCTCTGGCTGCCATGAGTCTGTTGTTTTCATCCTTCTTTTCCCTCCTGCATTCTTGGTAGCCTTGTATCAGGCTCATTTACTTCTTTTTCTTTCCTGCAGCTGTTTTTTTAGAACAGTGAAATGCTTTAAGTCATCTTTCAACAGTCCTCCTGCCAGTGCTGTTTTTCTGTGTAGTGTCTTTCTCTGTTTTCTTTTCCTGGTGCTCTAGAGCTTATGATATATGCCTTCATAATAAGCCTCCCTCATAGAACATCTGCCAGGTCTTTATTTCTCCTTGCCAAAAGCAGCAGTTATACCACAGGAGTTAAGGAAGCATCTTCTTGCTAAAAAAAAAAAAAACAAAAAAAAAACACAAAACCAAAAAACTCTTTGGGTAGAAGAAGCAGTGGCAAATGTTATTGCCCAATGAAGGACCAAATAAAGAATCAGGTGCTCCCTAGTAGTGTTATCTTAGGCCTTTAAAAATTCTACATGTATAATTCTCCAACTATGCAGTTCAATTCTAAGTATATCCATATGTCCATGTTTATAGGAAAAAAGTCAAAAGATGGGTGGATTAGTGAGTTTGCCAGCAAACAACCTCTTCCCTGTGGAAGTATTTCTTTTTTGGTACTATCCCCTTTATTCCCACATTGCCAGCTTCTGTCATTACTCTCCACCACTAAAATATCTTTTACTTCTACCTCTTTCTTTCCATTCCCAAGTTCAAGCTCTTAATTATTGGTTGTATAGAGTGTTGTTTCCACTACCTTTCAGGCACCTACCTATATGGATGATCTAGAACTACTCCTTAATAGAAAATAAATTTATAATACTGCTGTTTCTGAACATAACTTTTATCTCTTTTAATTATGCTGGCACTTAACCTATTAAGAACATTCCAGGTTTTTTATTCACCTTCTGCCTTCTAAACCCAAGTTATTAAGTCTTTCCTGTCTTCCTTTCCAGACTAACCATGATCCCATGTTGATCACTTGAATTCTTTCAAGCTCTATATGATTGGTTTCTCAACCTAGTAATTAGGAAAATCATCTGGGTAGATTTAAAAATCCATATTTTAGGGCCTCACCAGAGCATTTTTAAGTTTTTTTTACTATAGAAACTTGACAGTAAACTTGATTTTAACTTTTTAAGGACAAATAGCACAAATGCAAGTAGTTTCTAAAATATCACTATAAAAAGACAAAAGACAGAATAACTTATCAGTGTCATGCTGTGTTCCTGCAAGTTTCCTCTCCTATAGTTTGTTCTTGTAGTTCAGCTTGCTTCAGCTTGAATTTATAGGTAGTTTTGTGAAGTCAAATTTCTCCATTACATGTACTATTTCTTGAGTCTTTGTTACATAAAACAATGAAGATATTTAAATTTGCAGGAATGTAATAATCTTACTACATTTTACCATTTCTTTAATCTGAATTCTTTATAGAATATGCAATTCCTTATTGAAATTCTTGGTGATGGGGCACCTGGGTGGCTCATTCAGCTAAGTGTCCAGCTCTTGATTTCGGCTCAGGTCATACACTCTCTAATGGTTCATGAGATCGAGTCCCGTGTTGGGCTCTGTGCTGTGCCTTTCCCCCAGTCACACTCACTCTCAAAATAAGTAAATAAACACTTAAATTATTGGTGTTACTGTGGTGTAGAACTATTCAGTAATAGTTACAATTCTTTTGCAATTATTGTTGGTCTTAGAATGTTAAAGATTAACTGATAGTAGCATAGTAGGTAAAAGGCATGATAACACCAGGCCTAGCAATGCTTAGAAGGGAATTAATAAAATTAGCTTGTGTAATAATTAAAGAAATCAAGGGAATGATTTGAGGTTTTGGAGGCTTACACAAGTTTTAAAGTTCAATTATGTATTATAGGATAAACATTGTTAATTACAGGTGATTGTTCGAATATGTATACTTCTAATATTGGTATGTTGTTTTTTAAAAAACATGCATCTTATATGGATTGTTGTCGTTGTTTTTAAGGATATTTTGGAACTCTTAGAAAAAAGAGTGAAGTCACGATTTTCTCACCGGCAGATACATTTAATGAATTCATTTGGTTTTCCACAATATCTTAAAATATTTAAAGAACAATTATCTCTACCTGCAGAATTTCCAGACAAGCTCTTCACTGAGAAGTGGAATGAGAGCATTCAGGTAACTTGGAACAGAGGCAATAATGTTAAAGTAATTTTTGTACTTTGGTATACCATTGAAAGCAATAAAAACCTACAAATTAAAAAAAAATTGTAAATTAGCACAAAGCTTCTAATGTTACTGTAGCATAGAACTGCATTAATACAAATCATACACTTATGTGTGCGTGCATGTGTGTGTGTGTTTTAAAGGAGATTGAAATGTCATATCCTAAATTTTTTCTCAAAAGAACTTTAGTGAGATTTTTGTTTTATTTATATCTACTTATATTTTAGATTATTTTGTTAATATTTAGGTTACTAAAAAAAATTATTTTCTTTAGTTACAAGTTTAGCAATAGTTTAGCTTAATGGTTCATCACTAACTATCCAGTGTGGATTGTTTTCTTTTCTAGTTCTCAGACAGTTTTAACTTTTATCTCATTTGGGTCTCTTAAGTCAAGTAAGGTTTGGCATGGTTGTATTGTCTGTGTTGGTGAATATCATCATGCAGTCCCTAGAACCCTGAGAGTCTTAGCTACCAAGGCACGTTCACATGTTGATTTAAAAGTTAACTAATAAACCTTGTGGACTCTATAAATTTACCTAACCTTAAGTTGAATAGCCTAACTTATATAGACCATTGTCATATCAACTCAGCATACTAGCATCAGTTTATCTTACACTGACAAGAGTTTTCAGGGGTACCTGGATGGCACAGTTGGTTAAGCATCTGACTCTTGATTTCAGCTCGGGTCATGATCTCATGGTTCGTGAGATACTTTGGATTTTACTTTTGCTCTAGATTCTCTCTCTCTCTCTCTCTCTCTCTCTCTCTCTGTCCCCTTCCCCCACTCACACTCTTTCTTTCTCTGTCTAAAAATAAACAAACATTAAGTAATTTTCAGTTGGCAGGATGAAGGGAGAGAGTATGCCAGGAGTGTGTTTAATAACAAAATTGAAAAACTATTGCTGAATAAATCCCACATGGTAGAATCTTTCAAAACTATGGGTCTTGTGAAGGTGGAAGATAATGGAGAGTCCTTGGTTTTCAAAGAATTTGGAGGGGAGCCTGGTAGGCTCAGTTGGCTAAGCGTCCGACTCTTGGTTTTGGTTCAGGTCATGATCTCACAGTTTGTGAGTTCAAAACCATCATCAGGCTCCATGCTGACAGTGCAGAGCCTGCTTGGGAGTCTCTCTCTGCCCCTCCCCTACTCCTCTGTCCCTCCCTCTCTCTCCCTCAAAAGTATATAAACTTAAATAAATAAATAAATAAATAAATAAATAGATAAATAAATAAATAAAAGAATTTGGAAAAACTGATCTATAATATTAAATACTGATGCAAATAATTAGATCTTTAGACAATTAAATTTGCACAGTGTGTATTCACCGGCTCTAAAAAATATTGTTTATGTCAAAGCAGTAATTTTTTTTTTTTTTTTGCAGTTTCAAGTTTTTATTTAAATTCTAGTTCATTAACATACAGTGTAATATTAGTTTCAGGTGTAGAATCCACTGATTCGTCACTTGCATACAACACCCAGTGCTCATCACTAGTGTCCACCTTAATACCCATCACCCATTTAACCTTCCCACTCCCCTCCCCTCCAACAACCCACAATTTGTTCTCTATAGTTAAGAGTCTGTTTTATGGTTTGCCTCTCTGGAATGAAACTGGACCACTTTCTTATACCATTCACAAAAATAAATTCAAAATGGATCAAAGACCAAATGTGAGAAAGGAAACCATCAAAATCCTAGAGGTGACCACAGGCAGTAAACTCTTTGACATCAGCCATAGCAACTTCTTACTAGATATGTCTCCTGAGGCAAGGGAAACAAAAGCAAAAAATGAACTACTGAGATTTTATCAAGATAAAAAGCTTTGGCATGGTGGAAGAAACATTGGACAAAACTAAAAGGCAACCTATGGAAAGGAAGAAGATTTTTGCAAATGACATCTGATACAGGGTTAGTGTCAAAAATACATAAAATACTTACAACATTCATAAAACAAAGACATCTTTTCCAAAGAAGACATACAGATGGCTAACCGACACATGAAAAGATGCTCAGCGTCACTCATCATCAAGAAAATACAAATCAAAACTACAGTGAGCTATCACCTCATACCTGTCAGAATGGCTAAAATTAACACAAGAAACAACAGATATTGGTGAGGATTCAGAGAAAGGGGAACCCACTGCTGGTAGGAACACAAACTGGTGGAGCCACTCTGGGAAACAGTTTGGAGGTTCCTCAAAAAGTTAAAACTACCTTATGATCCAGCAATTGCACTACTAGGTATTTACCCAAAGGATACAAAAATACTGATTCAGAGGACACCAGCATGGCTTAGTCAGTCATCTGACTCTTGATCTTAGCTGAGTGTTGATGTCGGGGTCATGAGTTCAAGCCCTGCATTGGGCTCCACGCTGGGCATGGAGCCGACCTTAAAAACAAAAACAAAAGCAAAAACAAAACCTGATTCAAGAAGCAATAGTGATTTTAATCTTGAATATCAATACCAAATTAAATGTGAGAACTTTGCATTTATTTTGCTCTTAAACAGTTTTTTAATTTTTCCCAGCTTTGTTGAGCTATAATTGATAAAATAAAAATTATATATATTTTAGGTTTACAGCTTGGTGTTTTGATATACAAATACATATAGAAATGCCACAATCAAGCTATACAATGCATCTATCACTCCATTAGTTACCATTTTCTTTCTATTCTTTTTCCTTTTTCCTTTTTCCATTTTTATTTTGTGGGAGGAGGTGAAAACACTTATTATCTATCTTCGAAACAAATTTCAGGTGTACAATATTGTTTACCATAGTCACATTTTTATGTGATATTTTTATTTATTCATCTTGCATAACTAAAACTTGATTCTTGTTTTGATTATAAAATATAGTCTACTCATATAAGTACTGTTAATTTTGTCATTTTTTATTTTTTTAAAGTTCCTCAAACGGGAACACGCTACTGGCTCATTTGGAAGAGCATGTGACTCTTGATCTTGGGGTCATGAGTCTACTCCCCACATTGGGTGTAGAAATTACTAAAAGTTCACTGAGTAAAATTTAATCAGTTCATAGGAATAAATATACGGTGAAAGGTGCATGGCTCATGGCTCAGTTGATTGAGTGTCTGACTCTTGTTTTTGGCCCAAGATACCAGGTCGTGGGATTCAAGCCCCATGTTGAGGTCCACACAGAACTTGGAGCTTGCTTAAGATTCTCTCCTTCTCTCTCTCTTAAAAAAAAAAAAAAAAAATACAAGTTTCCCTTATATCCATGCCTGTCTCCCTCCCTTTACTACGGAGTAATTATTTGGCTTATAGCATTTCAAACATATACATACTGAAGTTGTTACTACATAAAGAGTTCAAACTTTGCATGTTATTTTTGCTTTCCCTTTCCCATTTTGTTCTGATGGATACTTCGTATTATTCTTAGTATAACTTTACAGAATTGTATGCAAAAATGGTTGACTTTATTCTTAAAATTCACATATTGTGCTATGATATAATTAGGTGTGGGTTTTCCCTTGTACCCTTCTCCCCAAGTTAATCTCACCTGGGACTCAGATACTTGTCAGCTCAGGAAAGTTTTTTTGATACTGTATCTTACTATAAGATTCTGTTCTTTAGGAACCCTTTATATTTGGTACTTCCACATTGTCCCTTTCCTTAAATAGGTCTGTAGCGGATCAGAGCTCTGGATCTTTGGCCTATGAATCCACTTTCAGTGCCTCACAGACTTTCACCTTGTACAGTTACAAGACATCCAAATGCAGTCTTTCATAGTATTTAAATGTCTTTGCCAGGTCTTCTGTTATTTCTGTCTCTACTTCCTGTCTTTTCCCAAGATGAATTACATAGCCCAGGTTGTACTGTGCTGTCATTTATCTTTCTGTCCTTCCCAGCTATATTGCATTCTCTGCATCTGAGTGGGTATATAAAGGAAGTAGATGATAAGGGTTACTGATGAAGCATAATTCTGGATGATTTAGAAAATGGTAGCCGTGTGGTAGGAGATGGCTAACGCTTGTGTTTTTGGTCATTTTTTGCTGATTCTATATCACTGAATTTAGGGGCAGATGGTAGAAATGAATGTGAGAAGATAGAAGACTGGTCTTTTGTTTGTTTCCTTTTTACAATTTTGCAGTTCTTTAATAAGGTAGAACTAGTACAACTGGAGTTAGTTCTAGAGTTTTCTTCCTTTTATCCTAATCCTCATTTGCCACTTACTTTTGGTGTGCTAATAGAGGAGCTTCATTTGAAAAATAAGTCAGCACCATGGCCAGAGGCCCTGTCCTGTAAGAGGGGAGGGCTGCATTGAGGGAGCTATCCTGTCTCTCAGTACTGACTATCCAGCAAGTTTTTCTGATTCCCATCTTAAAACCAAAGCAATGGTATAGATAACAGGTTGCCTGTGGAATTTCATCCAAGAAACATATTCAGGATAAGGTTGAACCTGGATATTCTGCCTAACTTGAATGTTTGTTGTAGTCCTACCCCAAATGAATCAAATAAGTAGAATGAACACCATCTCAGCATGGCAGTATAAGCGAAATTCCTGTAAAAGAGCATTTAAAAGGACCATAACTAATTCTCCTCAAAGGAAATTCCCCCAGAGTACTATAGCTAAGTTCAAGGACCTTAGCCACTGTCGTAACCTTTCCTGTTTAGTTAACAGAAGGTGAGAAGATTTAGCAGGAACTGACCAGGAGAAAACTGAAACTTGGAGGTACAGGACTACTCATCTTCTGTCAGTATGCCACAATCTTCCTACATTGCTCATGCTGTTCCCTGTAGATGGAATGCTTTCTTTTTAGCGTATTGACTCATACATACAGTTTAAGCATTCTTTGTAATGCTTTACCTTGTTTTCCCAAATATAGTCATTCTTACTCTCTGTTGTATTTTGTGCTGAATTTTGGTCATCCCACTGGTGTGACTATCGATTCCCTTTTTAGACCAGAAAGTTTGGGATAGTAAGGATTGTTTTACCTTTGTGTATATTTAATCAACATAAAGGGATAAGAAGAAAATCAATAGACTGGAAAGTTCATTTTGACCTATTTTGATCTTTGTATTCTACAAATAAAACCAACACATATTTAATAATAAATAAATGTCAGAATTAATGAGCTACAGCAACAAGTGAGGCACAACATTATAGTTAGGTTTTAAACTGCCTTTTTACTACTTACCTGTTTTACTGTTTTTTTTTTTTTTCCCCTCTAGTGTCTCACAGAAGATAGAAGTGTGCGAGAAGTACTACAAAAGCATTTCAATGTCAGCAAAAACCTGCGGTCATTACACATGCTATTGGTTTGTATTCATTTTATTTTTACCTCTCATTTTCTTTCACTAGGTAATTACATTTTGATGGGAACTGATTAAGCCTACAGGTAAATTTTGGGAGAATTAGCATGATTACTACACTGAATCTTCCAATCCAGACTATGGTACATTTCTCCTTTTACTTAGTTTTTCTTTAATTTATTTCATCATCATTTTATAATTTTTACCACACATATTTTGTACATGCTTAAAATGTATACCTAGGTATTTCATTTTCTTTGAAAATTATATTATACAAATATCATATGTAAATGATATCTTGTTTTTAATTATGTTTTTAACATGCTCATTGTTAGTATATAGAAATGTAAGTCTAATGGTATAATAAATGTCTGTGACTATTAAATTTATGGCTGCGAGTAGTATAAATATGTATAGATACTTTGAAAAACAATTTGGTAAATTAGATATCCAGAGAAACTCAGATGCACAAGACGGCATGTACAAGATTGCTTACAGCAACCTTGTTTATAATTGCAAAAAAAGGGAAATAACAGATATCTATCAATGAGGATATATGATGGGAAAATGAATAAACTGGAATTGATACCTCAACATGGATAAATTCTCGGAATAGATGTTCAATGAAGAGAGTTGCATAAGTACAATATGGTATTTATATAAAACTTGAAAATTATACTGTGTTGTCTAGGAATGTATGCATATGTAGTAGAAGTATAACAGCATGCATGGTTTTTTGTACGAGAAAGAGTAGGAGTCCAACCAGGGAAGAAATAGAGTCTGTAAAATTATATTTTATAAGCTGAGGAAGTGGTCATAAATATCTGTTACATCATTCCTTTGCCTTTTTGTATGTCACAGATATTTTATAATAAAAGAGAAAAGTTACAGTTAAGACTATGAGTAAGAGAAGGAGTTACTATGTACCAAGTTCTCCCCCAATAGAGAAATGAAGGACAAGGATTTCCAAACTCTTCTGTTCAACTAAGGACCCTGGGCCCTAGTTAACATGGGGGAGAATTTCTAGTATAAATATTTTCCAAATATTACAGGGTACATAGTTACACTAAGAAATTATTCATTGTTTACCTGTAGTTCAAATGTAAGCAGTTGTCATAACATTTTCATCTGCTAACTCTGCTTACCCTATGTAATGACTAAATTTAAATATTATGAAAATTACACTTAAAGGAATCTTCAAATTGTTGGAAAGCCAAGTAGCTACATGACAAGTTGTCTCTAGGTGTCATTTTGGCTTTTAATTTTTTTTTTTTTTTTTAATGTACAATTGAACATAAAGTGGGTAACTTCTGTCACATAACACTAACCTGAACTAGCTAATTTGGTAGCCAAAAAGTTTATACAAGTCACAGGTCTGCCTTTGTGATTTGGTCTAGGGCTTTGAATAATACTTTGTTTTTTAATTGACATATAGTTGACATTCAGTATTATGCTAGTTTCAGCCACACAGCATAGTGATTCGACATTTTAATGCATTATAAAATGCTCACCGTAAGTATAGTCACCATGTTACCTGATTTCCTGTTTCAATCCATTATACCTGGAAAACATGCTTAATATGATTACAGTCTGATTAAAGTTATTGAGACTTGTTTTCTGGCGTAACATGTAACCTGTCCTAGAGAATGTTCCACGTAGACTTGAGAAGAATGTGTTTGGCGCTGTTTTTGGATGGAATGAGCTGTATATATCTGCTAAATCTACCTGGTCTAGTGTGTTAAGGCCCATGTTTCCTTACTGATTTTGTCTGGATAATCTACCCACTGATGTAAGTGGAGTATTAAATTATAGTTAATGTAATTATAAAAAGTATTCTGACAGTTTAGAGCCTGGAGCCTGCTTCTGATTCTGTGTCTACCTCTCTCTCTGCTCCTCCCCCGCTCATGCTCTGTCTCTCTCTCTCTCCTTCAAAAATAAATACATTAAAAAAAATTTTTTTTAAAGTATTATGGTCAGTTTCTCCCTTTTTGTGTTAATATTTGCTTTATATATTTAGGTGCTTCTGTGTTGGATGCATATATATTTACAATTGTTATATTCTCTTACCGGATTGATCCCTTTATCATTACATAATGTCCTTTGTGTCTTATCACAGTCTGTGTGTTTTTTTTTTTTTTTTTGATGTCTATTTTGTCTGATAGAACCTTTGCCACCCTCCCTTTTTTTTTTTCTTCCCCCCATTTGCGTATCTTTTTCCTTCCCTTCACTTTTCAGTCTGTATATATCCTTAGGTCTGAAGTGAGTCTTGTGTAGGCAGCATATAGATGGATCTTGTTTTGTTTTTTTCTTTTAATCATTCAGCAGCCTTATTTATGTCTTTTAATTGGAACACTTAGTCCATTGACATTAAAAGTGGTTATTGATAGGTATATACTTATTGCTCTTTTGTTAATTGTTTTCTGGTTGCTTTTGTAGTTCTTCTCTATTCTTCTCTTGCTGTCTTCCCTTGTGATTTGAGGACTTTTTAGTATAGTGTTTGGATTCGTTTCTCTATTTTTTGTGTATCTGTTTTAAGTTGTTGGGTTTGTGGTTGCCATGAGGTGTATTTATATGTATATATGTACATATATACATGTGTATATATATACACACACACACACACACATATATATACATATATAAATATAACACTGTATGTTAATCTATTTTAAGTTGGTAGTTGTTTAAATTCAAAAGCATTTTAAAAGCACTGCATGTTAACTCTCCTCCAACTCCTACAGTTTATGTGTTTGGTCTCATATTTTACATCCTTTAATATAAGCCTTAACTAATCATAGATATAGTTGATTGTATTACTTTTGTCTTTTAACCTTCCTTCAAGCTTTATAAGTGATTGCTCTCCTCCCTTTACTATATGTTCACTTTTACCAGTGAATTTTTTTTCCCAAAATTTTTTAAAAATTCCTCTTGAGCTCTTTTCTTTATTGCTTTAAGCAGTGCCTTTAACATTTCTTGTGAGGCTGGTTCAGTGGTGATGAACTCCTTTAACTATATCTTGGAAATTTTATTTCTCCCTCAATTCAGAATAATAATTTTGTTAGGTAGAATATTCTTTGTTGTAGGTTTATTCCTTTCGGCACTCTGAATATTATGTGTCTTATTGTAGACCTCCTTGGGTTCATCTTCTTTGGGGCTTTCTGTACTTCTTGGACCTGGATGTCTGTTTCCTTCTCCAGGTTAGGGAAGTTTTCAGCTATGATTTCTTCAAATAAGTTTTCTGCCCACTACTCTCTTTCTTCTCCTTTTGGGACCTCTATAATGTGAATATTAGTATGCTTGGTGTCCTAGTGGTCCCTTAATGTATCCTCATTTTTAAGATTCCTTTTCCTCTTTGCTGTACAGCTTGGGTCCTTTCCATTACCTTGTTTTCTGATTACTGATCCATTCTTCTGCATCTTTTAATTTGTTGATTCTCTCTGGCTTATTTTTCATTTCAGTTATTGTGTTCTTCAGCTCTGATTGGTTCTTTTTTATTGTTCTTATATCTTTGTTGAAGTTCTTGCTGAGTTTGTCCACTCGTCTCCCAAGTTAGGTGATCATCTTTATGACCATTATTCTGAGGTCTTTATCAGGCTGATTGCTTAATTATACTGTTTTGCTCTTTTTCTGAGGTTCTTTTTTCATTTGGAACATATTCTTCTGTCTCTTCATTTTGTCTGAGTTTGCGTTTGTTTATAGTAGATAGGTCAGTGACATGTCCTGGTCTTAAAGGTAGTGTGGTCTCATGTAGAAGGCATCCTTGGAGCCCAGAAACACAATCCTTTCTGGTCACTAGAACTGGAGCTTTCAGGGCTGTTTCATGTGGGCTGCTTGCACCCCCCTGTTGTTACTGGGCGCACTTGTCAGGGCTGGCTCCTGGCCCAAATAGCTGCAGCGCCTCACCACAACTACTGCGGGCATACCAGTGTGTGCAGGTGGAGCTGGCCCTCGTGGCTGAGAGAGCAGACTAGCTGCTGAGGGTAGGTGGGTGGGGCAGCCCCTGTGTGGCTGGTTGTGAGATCCCACCATGACTCTTCTGTGCTTGCTGGTGGGTGGGGCTGGCTCCCTCTTTCCTTGAGTAGGACTCATTTGGAAGGGATACCTACTAGGTGGGTGATTTGGGTGGGGTTGTTCCACAGAGGAATGCCCTTGGCATGGATAGTGGTGCTAACAAGGTAGATGGATAGTGCCACGGCTGGCTCTTGTAAGCCTAATGAACTTAGCTGAAGGAAGACAAGAAAAATAGTTCTGCCAACATTTCCATTCCCAAAGAAAGCTCCTACAGAATCCTGCCCCTCCAGCACATACCTTAAATTGGTTAATGTACCTTCTTGTATGGCCCAGATGATTTTCAGACTGCTCCCTCTGAACAATTGAAATTGCGTATGGGGTCTGTAAGAATGGAGTCTCCATGTCCTGTAGCCCTCTGGCTCTCCCAGAATTAAGCCCCACTGATTTTCAAGGCCAGACATTATGGAAGCTTGTCTTCCTGGTGCAGATACCCAAGGCAGAAGTTGCCCACTGTGGGGCTTGAACCCCTCACTCCTCAGGAAGGACCGCTACACCAGTGACATCCCTCCTGCTTGTGGGGCACTGCACTGGGTATTTGGTTTCTACCCCAACCACATCTCTGCCTTTATTACCCTTTGCAGTGTGGCTTTTTAAAATCTCTTCAGCTGCTAGTTTTCAGGGCATTCACAGAGTTGCTTTATATGTAGTTGCAGCTTTGGTGTGTCCATGGGAGGAGGTGAGCTCAGGTATTTCCCTACTCCATTTTCCCATGAAATCAAAATAACCTTTGAATAGTAATCTTACCTATTTTGGCTCTCTTCCTTGCCTTACTCCTTTTTAAATGCTTCTCTTTTGAGGAATGGTAAATAAGATATGCAAATGGGAAGAGGTATAGAGAACAACAAGAACTTTTTTTTATGCTCTTATAGACTTACATGACATTGGTACTGAAATACTGTATTTTAATAGAGCTAAGCATGAGAATACCTTTCCCAAGCAATTAATACTAACTCTCAGAATAGACTCCAGATTAAGAAATTTTGTTCAGTAATATCTCCAGATATTTTTTTCTGATCCACATTTTCCTAGATGTAAATGTTTTTCTGATCCACATTTTCCTAGATGCTTGCTTTAAATCGCGTAACAACATCACATCCGTTTATGACTGCAGCAGATATGATGGAGGCCCACCAGTTCTGTAGCATGGACTCTAAAGCAAATATCGTACATGGTGAGAAACTTGCTTGATTTGTTTTTTATAAGTTTATATAATGGAATTCTTTCAAAATTATGCTTGACATTGGGTATGATACAGACTACTTATATATCCATACAGCCTTTAACTCAGCCCTGCAAAAGGTATTATCACTCCCATTTAAAGTGAAGGAAACTTGATGCACCTCCCTTGCTACGTTGAAAGTCCAGCTAACACTGTATTGCAGGATTCACATTGCATCGAGTACTAGTAAAGAGAGTTGGCTCTTAGCCAGTTTGGATTCACTATCCCTTTTAAGAATCTAATGAATTTTCTTCTGTCTAGAAAAAAAAAGAAACTTTTAGATATAATTTCCAAGAGTTTAGGACTTCTCTCAATATTCAAGGAAGCTGTGTGATTTAAAACATAATAATTGCCATTTCAGTTTATGTTTACTATGGGCTATATGATAAGTGCTTGATGATATTGTCTCTCATCTCTATAAGTTTAAGAAGATCCATAGTTTGCGTATATGAAAGCTAAGCCCAGGAAGGGTGAGTAGCTTGCTTAGGATTGTATAAGTCATTGTGACTGAAACACATTTGAACCTCAGAGAGGTCTTGATCTCCTGCCACCCCTCAAAACAATGTCTTTCACTTTATCATTCTGTTGAGAGGACAGTTATTTCAATCTTCTGGATCAGTGAGAAAACTACAACTCATAATTTGTTTCCCTTTTACTATAGGTCTGTCAGTCTTGGAAATCTGTCTTATAATAGCAATGAAACATTTAAATGACATCTATGAAGAGGAGCCCTTTAATTTTCAAATGGTCTATAATGGTGAGATGAGATGTTGGTAGTTTTTTTCTGACTCTACTTCACTGCTTATTTGAAGGTGTTAATGTTGTTGTTGCTTTCTGTACAGAGTTTCAGAAGTTTGTTCAAAGGAAGGCCCATTCTGTTTATAATTTTGAGAAACCTGTTGTCATGAAGGTAAGATTCAAGAAGTTCATAGTTATTTTTCTGCTGTCAGGTATATTTTTGTATCATTTGATTGTATATATCATAGTTACTCTCTTATTAATTTGGAAACAGGTATTTGCCATATGATCTTTTTTTTTTTTTTTTTTTTTTTTGCGTAACAGACCAAAATGATCTCAAAATGAAATGTTTGAATTCTGAAGAAAGCAGCCAATGGTTTCCCAGTTTGTGGGAATATACTGCCCTCTACTGTCTGTTTCTAGCACTGCATCTTGCAAAGAACTATATATTGCAGTTCATCAAATGCATCAATAAAACTCTGTCCCTTTACAGTCCAAGGGTTGGATTTGTAATCTTAGCAGTAGAAAGACAAAAATGAAGATATTAGCCATTAAGAAACTAAAGGACAAAATTTCATGGGATAGTGAGGACATACAAAAGTGTTATTAGGAGTTGGAGTAAGTTTTAAAACTTGAGGAACTTTATTAGAGCATTCCATTGTCCACCAGAAATACATGACTCACAGTGTAATTTTGGATTTTCTAGTAGCAACAAAAATGTTAAAAAGGTGAAATTAATTTTAATTATAAATTTTATTTAACCTAATATATGAAAATATTTTAACCTATTATCAATGTAGAAGATTATTAATGAACTATTTTTATGTTTTCTTAGGTATTACATTTTAAAAATTTCATGTGTGTTTACACTTAAAACACATCTTAGTTCTGGGGCGCCTGGGTGGCGCAGTCGGTTAAGCGTCCAACTTCAACCAGGTCACGATCTCACGGTCCGTGAGTTCGAGCCCCGCGTCGGGCTCTGGGCTGATGGCTCAGAGCCTGGAGCCTGTTTCCGATTCTGTGTCTCCCTCTCTCTCTGCCCCTCGCCCGTTCATGCTCTGTCTCTCTCTGTCCCAAAAATAAATAAACGTTGAAAAAAAAAAAAACACATCTTAGTTCACTAAATATGCATTGGAAATATTTGCTCTTTAGATTGCTTAAAATGTGTAGCTGAAGTAGATTTATATTCTGAAATTGTTCCAAACTTAAAATTTTCTAATCAATTTGACTATCAAATTTTAAATTAAACTTAATTACATAATTTAATTAAAAAAATTCAAAACCAAGTTCCACAAATAGCAGTAGCCCTGTGTGGTTACCTTACTGCGAAAAAGCATTTTTTTCTCTTTTTTTAAAATATATGTGTGTGTGTGTGTGTGTGTGTGTGTACATATATATATATATATTTTTTTTTTTTTTTTTAACATTTATTTATTTTTGAGAGAGATCGTGGGTGAGGGAGGAGGAATAGAGAGAGAGAGGGAGACAGGGAATCCAAAGCAGGCTCCAGACTCTGAGCTGTCAGCACAGAGCCCTACACGGGGCTTGAACCCACAAACTGTGAGATCATGACCTGAGCCCAAGACGGACACTTAACTGACTGAGCCACCCGGGCACCCCTTGTTTGTTTGTTTTTTTTAAAGCAGTGGACCCGTAAGTCTTTTATCATTCTTAGTGGTCAGAATTTTATTTCTTCTACCAGCTAAAAAATGTGATTACAGAGCATTGCCATTTCTTCAAAACAACAGAAAAAGTGTGTTTAGCCTACCGGAGGTTGGTTTTCCCCCCTTTCTAATGTCCATGTTTGTGTGATAGTTTTCTGTGAGTAGAAAAGGTTACATGAACATTTAAATTCATATGAGCAATTTTGTAGCTGCTTGTTTCTACATTTTAAATAAAATATTTGTTGCCTAGAAATATTTTAGCTCTCAATTTTATTCAGCCCCAATAATGCCTGCAGCCGATATTTTCTCATTTTCAGAAATGCTGGTGTCTATTTTTCTTTTCATTGGAAGAATTCTTATGATACATAAAGTATATATTTGATATTTTTTCACAATAGAATAGAAATAGAAAGTTCCAGAATCTTTTTCAATGTGTCAGTATTTAATGGTTAGTAGTCATTAATGGTTTCTTTTTCTTCATACACTAATAAAATACCTAAAATAATAATCAGGGTGAGAAAAGACATAATACATGAATGTTAGAGGTGAGATGAAACAGTAGACAACACTATTAGAGGGAAAGGTGGAAGAAAGGGACTTTATTACAGGTTATGGCATCAGATGTTGGGTTTTTAGAGAGAACTAAAAGCCCTTCCTTTATCTTAAGTACTATTAGGTGTTAGATATCGAATGAGGTTTGGAAGAAAAACCATATTGTGCAGAGTGAATTAGAGTTTGCCCTGTTCGCATTCAACAGTGCAGGGACAGAACTGTATATTTGACTCTGCTTCACCTGATACATGGAGTTTTTATGAGGTTGATGAGAGTTGTTTTGAACCCTACTGATTTCTATTAAGTTTTGTTTCCTGGTACTCTGTTCTACAACTGACCACAAACCTAATTGTTTACTGGATTAATGTTGTTATTTTGCTTCCTCTATTCAACTTACACTGTTTCTTTCATCTTTCAGGCTTTTGAACACTTACAACAATTAGAATTAATAAGGCCCATGGAAAGAACTTCAGTAAATACACAGAGAGAATACCAGCTGATGAAACTACTTTTGGATAATACTCAAATTATGAATGCTTTGCAGAAATACCCCAACTGTCCTACAGATGTTAGGCAGTGGGCAACATCCTCACTAAGCTGGTTATGAACATAACCAGTGGCTTCACTTATGGAGTTTCAGGCATACTTCTCTAAGGAACTAAAAGCTATTGTCCTTTAACAAGATATGTTATTACATTTTTTTATATTTATAAAACTGTATTTTTGTATTTATGGGAGACTGTTATACATGTAGGTCTTGGCTGTGTCTTGCCTTTGAATCATGAACAGTTACATGATTTATAATTCCAGTGGTTTAGATTATATTGTAAGAGTTCAAAGAAATAAATGTGACTGTTTTAGGAAATGAACCATATGCTTATTTAACACTTGTCAAGTATTTATGTGGCATATATATTTGAATAGTTCGTTCCAACCCAGCAGCCAAGTGTTTTTCACAAACCCTAAAGCAGTAAAGAAACAATGGTAAGAGTTGTGGTGTAATGATGAGTAATCTTTTTATCCAATGGGAAGTGCTGCATTGTTTTTCTCTGTCCATGGAATTTTTGGTTTCTATCCCAGACCCAGGTTTTCTAGCTCAGGATACTGACCAGTTTGGCCATAAGATGGTTCACATGGAAGAGAAAAGAGAAAAGTTTGAACATTTTCTTCCAGGCTTCTCAAGGTGGTACTTATATCATTTATAGAAGAATGCCTTGTAGAATTTTTTTTACCAGGCATATTCTTGCACATGTCATAGGCCCAAAGGATCCGAATTTAGAATGTGTCTTTTTAATAGGGACTTTAGGATATGCCTGGAAAAACATTCTCACAATTAATGGGAAGTGCTTGGCACTATCAGGTAAATATATTTGTATCAAAAATCCCTAAAGCGAATGTGGAGAATGCTTACCTCATAAATTCAGGAGTCCAGGAATTAATACAGGTATATGTTTAAAATGAAATTTAGTAAGTTAGTGACTTCCTTTATTCAAGAATATTTAATTGCCTATTGTTTTCATGGAAGGTTTACAGTAGACAGTCCATATGCTTGTGTAGTTCATAAACCTTTTAAAATATCAAACACCCTATGATATTCCGGTTCTGTTAAGAAAACAGGGTAGTGGCAGTGTTCAGAATCACAGAGGTAGAGAATGATGGACAGATCCTGGAATTCAACTCAGGTTTGACTGACACCAAAGCCCTGCCATCAAGAGCTAAAATGCATTAACAAGTTTTGGCACATATTTTTTAAAGTACGGTGTAAGAAATGACTTATCTGGTTTTTAAGAAATAGCAGATGAAGAATGGAATGTAAGATTTCTGTGCATAAAAGTAGCTCTTCAGTTCAACCTATTTTTTTGCAGACATAGCTGGTCCTTCCCTGCCTTCTCAGTCTTCAGATCACTGTCATTTACTTTTCAGCAGTGTCTCAGTAAAGGTAAGGCTTGCATACTGGTTCTATGCAATAGTCTACAGATTTTTAGGAGATATTTTGCCAAAATACTTAGCATGGTAGCATCACTATTAACTAGAAGCAAGGATTTTTCACTTGAGCTTAAGTTTTCCCTTTAAGAAAAATTTCTGAACTATTTTAGGGAAGTATTATCTGCCTTAAAGGCACTCATTGTGGAAGAAAGCACCTAAAGAACTTGATTTGAAGATTGCAAATTACTAGCTTTTTTAACATGCCACTAAAAGGCTGGAAGCTCTCATCTGCCTTCCTGGATACATAAGACCTACAGAAGCTCCATCAACATCCAGGTATACAGATTATATATTTATATATATAACATATATATTATACATCATTCTCAGTGAAACAGTTCTTAAAAGCAAATTAGGAAAAAAAAATGTTAGCAAAGGTCATACAAATAAAACATATGCCTACGTTAGAAAGGCATTGAGAGGAGGAGTGTTGATGTTCCCCTTTCTGTATTCCCTAATACAAAGAAGCTAAGATGTACTGGGAAAAACATTAAGGTCCATCTCTTAAATTGCTTAAAACATCATCAATAAAAAAATCTGAAAAGCTTTAGTGAACAATTTTTAAGAATATTAACAAGTAAGGCTTAAGGATATTTTCTTCACGTACTAGAGTCATGTAGCCTTTTAACAGCACAAAAATACATGAGCTCCATGGGTCATCAGTTTGGAAAACAGGTGGGGAAGAGTTTTAGAGGCCTCAGTGTGATCCCTCCAGTGCCCTATCCGAAACAGGATCTTACTCAAAACAAAACACCTCTCCAGTTCACGCGCACATGCTTGTGAATGGCTCTGAGGAATTAAAACCTGTTGGTCCAAACTTAGTATATCATAATGCTATGTATGTTGAGTATATACCATCTATCAACTTTTGAATCAGTTTGGGAGAATACGCTGTGGAAAATAATTTCAATCTTTCGGTAGAGATTCAGTGCATATTCCACCATAGTTTGCATTTTCATTCGGTTTAGAAGGCAGTGCAGGTTGTTTCAAACCACCATTACTTAAATGTCCTTTCCTTCACCTTTACCCTCAAAAATACTGAGAACTCATTGGAGTGAACTGTGACACTCAGTGCTACAATTTGGTGCTTTCTATTTCCCTTTCCTTTGAAAGCCACAGGATAAACAAAAGCCTTGGTAACAAAAATGTCAAAGCTAGCTTGACAATTACTCTTGCTGATTGATTACCCTAAGTGAAAATGCCAGAATTCTTTCATGCAGTAGAATGGATATACCCTTAGGAAGTGTAGTTTATATCTTTGATGATTATTTCTTAAGCCACATTTTTCTGTTTCTGTATAACCAATGCGAGCTAGCCTCTGGTTTCCTAAAACCGGCAGGACCAACATACAAACTTTCGTGGGAATGCCGTCTGCTTAGACAATAAAGGAGGGAAATGCCACCCTTGATAAACTTGCCTT